TGTGCAAGAAAAAATGCATCTGGAAATAGAAGTGATATTGGCTGGGAACATGGTTTTGATGTAGATGGTACTTTTAGAAAAATTAAATGCAAGTATTGCTCAAAGGAATTTACTGGAGGTACATTTCGTTTTAAACATCATTTGGCAGGCACTAAAAATAATGTTGGAGCATGTCTGAGTGTGCCAGAAGATGTTAGACAAAAAATACTTGAAGTTTTAGTAAATCAATTGGAGCATTGAAAGAAGAAATGGAGGTTAAATAGTGGGGATGGAGGAAGTGATGACAGTGCTGATAGTGATGAAGAGGTGATATCAAGAAAAGAAAAGGTGATGGGAAAAAAGAATACTATTGATTCTTTGTTTAGGAGATCCAAAAGCACTCAACTCACAATCAATCAAATGTTGAAACATGATCTGGAGGAGGAAGAACATCAACGTGTTGCGAAATTTTTTTACACAAGTGCAATACCTTTTAATTGTGTGAAGAATCCATATTTTATACAAATGTGTGAGACAATTGGGAGGTATGGGATTGGGTACAAACCTCCTTCTTATCACCAAATTAGAGAAACATATTTGAAGAGGTGGGCCTAACAAATGAATTGCTTGAGGAGCATAAAAAAGAACGGACAAGAACTGGTTGCACTATTATGTCAGATGGATGGAGTGACAAAAGACGACGATCAATAGTGAATTTTTTGGTGAATAGTCCCATGGGAACAGTTTTTTTTATCATCAATTGATACATCTGATATTTCAAAAATTGCTGAAAAAGTTTTTGAGATGTTAGATGATATCGTTGAGAAAGTGGGGGAAGAAAATGTTGTGCAGATTATTACAGACAATGCTGCTAATTATAAAGCTGTAGGAGAGATGTTAATGGAGAAAAGGAAAATAATATTTTGGACACCTTGTGTGGCACACTGCATTGATTTAATGTTGGAGGATTTTTGAGAAAAAATTAGAGATCTACAAAGATACAATTTACAAAGGAAAAAAGGTAACAATTTTCATTTATTCAAGAACTCTACTTATTTGAATAAAGGTGCAAATAAGGATTTCAACTTTGCACTTTTTTCTATTTAAGGATGTTAACTTTGTCAATTTCTAAATAAGGATGTCAATTTTTAATTTTTTTTCTAAATAAGGATGTTAACTTTCAATTTTTTTTCTAAATAAGGATGTTAACTTTCTCAGTTTCTAAATAAGGATGTCAACTTTCAATATTTTTTATTTAAAGATGTCAACTTTCAACTTTTTCTATTTAAGGATCAATTGAATAGTGATGCTGACGTGGCTAACATATTTTTTCAGGTTAAATATTTGAATTGGTCCCTCGACTTTTATTTTTGAACTAGTTCATCCTTAAACTTCAGAAAGTACCAAAAACGTCCTTCAACTTCAATTTTCAATTTCGTCTTTCCGTCAGTTAAATGTTAATGTAGCTAATTTTTTTGCTAAGTGATTGACTATTTTACATTTTCAATATTAGGTGGAAAATCCATCATGTAAAAGATGATTATGT